CCCCAAAACCCCAAAACCCCAAAACCCCGTACCTCAAAAATCGTAGTTTCATAGTCAAAATTGTATTTCTTATTCTGAGATTATAATTTAAATTTATCAATTTCCATAAATAGTATTGATTAAGTAGCTCTTAATGTCAAAAATAAAACCGATTATTAATAAGCAAGTTAGTATCAAGAAAAATCATGAAAGTAGCTCGAGATATAATTCTTAATCACAACCTGCAAATTAGGTCTCATAAAATCATATAACTCGGATAGAAGAGGAGGATATTCATTTCATAGACTTAGATGATAAGCTAGATTTAGAAAATGGATAGAGTAAAATAGATTTTTAAAACTAAAGTAATGATGAGGGTACATTTGTAAGAAACTCTATTGCGATTAATCAGAGCATATTGAGAGAATAACATTCTTTAGCTAATTTAAACACCTTACCAAATGCTGGGCAATCACTTTAAAGCGAAAATGCATACACAATTAACTAAGTAAAGTCTATAAGTTTTAGTCCTACAAACAATAGCAGAAGACCCATTTCTATCTCAAATATAAACCATGCAACAGCTTTCTAAAATCCTTCGACGGATTTTTAACTTTAATTAAGATCTAACCTTCCTGCAAGTAATCAAGAATAAGAGCCACAATCCGCTCTTTCAAAAATGTTTGGAAAGATTATTGTAGCTAAGTTAGTAGATATCAGCGAGTATATAGTCAAGTTTCATGGACTGAGATTCATTCGAGTTCTAGTTTATCATTTTTTATTCTTTTACATTGGTATGCTTGTGGTACCACTAATTGTACTTTTTGACAGCGTCTAATTAGCCAATAACTTCTAATTCTTTGTGCAATCAGGCAATAAAAGAGTTTTTATATTTTAAAGCGTCCAGTTTATCTTTCATTTGATACATACATTGCTAATTGCCAACTATTATTTCAAGTTTGCACCGTTTAAAACTGAATTAAAAAATATTTTCCCAGAATAGTATCTATTTATGACTGTTTAAATATTGATAAGATGCTTTTTAATTAGCGTTAGACATGGTTATAGCTCAGAAATGAGATATAAGTTAATGACATAAAGTCCTTAAAGTAAATAGTATATCAGCAAAGATTTGTTATTAATAAATTGGTTCTTCCTTACTCCAGATTGCATTGAAGATGAGATCCAATCAGTGTTTTGGAGAAAACAGATAGAAGAGAGAGAATTTAAGTTTGAATTTTTTGAAAAAATATCTGATTAAGATATGAAAGATAGGCTCTCTGATGATAACTATTTTTAGAAGAATAAGTCTAAGTTCACCTAAAAGGAATACTCAAGGAGACTATCAACTAACATAAGTCTCCTAAAGTAGAAATAAAGAGAATTGGGGAGTCTTGATCCTAGTAAAAATATTGGTGAATTATTCTCCATTCATATGTTACCTGGAGATAATGAACCTAATGAATAATTTAATGGGAGAAATCTAATCAAAGAAATCATGATTTTTTCAAGGGCTAATTAGTTACGTGTTTAACCTATTGCCATGCTTTGGTCTATGTTAAAGCTGTTGATGCCTTTTTTAATACGCTTATACTTATTCAACACAATTCTTGGTTTTGATAATTGGGATAGCTATGTTTATTAAGTCCTAGAAATTATTCAATTATTACCAATTCTATTAGCAAACTATTCTTTTATTATGTCGGGATTTGTTGATTTTTTCAGAAGGCATCTTATGATGAAAGCTGCAAGTGCATTAATTAATCCATTCAAAAGTGAAATATAACTCAAATTTCAATTATTCCCCACAATAAATCTGCTTAGTAAGTAATCTTTGCATTCTTGGCTTATGCTTAGATTATGTTTGATGGACCTAGGAAGGAAATATATGGTTAGAATATTTTTATATTGTTCAGTATTTTTTGCCGCTAATCTCTTTTTTCTTATTATTTTGCTTTTGAAATTCTTTGAGATTATAAATTTAGATCTGTCATTATTCTCAAAAGTCTTGATTATTTATGACATAATATATGTTTCTATTGTCATAGTACTGATGCTATATTGTGGTGCTATTGTGAATTAGTCATTTGTCGCTGATAGAGTCTAATTAATTGATATTAAGCAAGCATATATATTTATCAAGATTAATTTAAACCATGTCCTATCAGGATAAAAATATCAAGGATAATATGTTAAGCTTTTGTAAAGATAGCTAATTTAAATGAAGAAATAATCTTAATCAGAGGAAGAATTAAAAGAATTATTAAATGATCTAATTGATTAAGTTGATTCTATTGTTGAAAAACTATAAATTGATGACGATCATTAACCACTGAAACTATTAGGAATAAAGGCTTCTTTTGGGGTGATAAATACTATATTTACTTCATTATTCACTGTAGCCGTAGCAGTGGGATAAAAACTATTCTCTGGATGAATAGTCTAAAATTATCAAAAAAACTATTTAATTTACAAATTATAATGGAATATCATTTTAGTATGATATATATATAGGTTAATGACCTTAAATCTTTTTAATTTTTATTAATCTAACATCTAATTTTAATATTTATCTATGGGGTTTTGGGGTTTTGGGGTTT